CTCCCTTGCTGCTACCTTAGTAACGACTGTTTCATTTCACAACCAGTTTTGTAAAAATGTCAATGGTGACTTTCCGAGACCAAAGGCTAGCAGCATGCGAGGTTTCTGTTTATATGTAACATGCGTCGATAAGTTTATGTAACTTAGCTTAATTTACAGGACACGTACTTCGTATCTAGCTGTGGATTCGAAGGGACCATTAAGAATATGGCCAGTTAGCTTTCACGCCGTTGTTCTGACAAATTTCTTTGAATCCTGACTTTAGTCACAACCTCCACAAAACAGGGTACTCATTTTTTGCATGAACATCTGTTTCAGGCGTAGTATCGACCAAAGGGCTCGCATCATCCTGCGCCAGCTGCTCGTCGCTGGTGTGGGCCACCGTCCAATCATCTGGATCAGCCACTCAGCTGGAGGTAAGTGCCACAGAGAAGCCTCAATGTAGACTGAACTTGTCAGCCAGGCATAAGACAGACGCAATAGTTTGCGTCCACCGCGACTCAAAGGTAGAGCAGAGGCTACTTCGACCCCATTCAACTATGGAGGTGCAGTATTCCTGTTCCCCATAATTTGCATTGAGGAGAAAATGGCCGCTTAATTAAATGCCGAACTGTGATTTATCCGATCAGCGGACAGTCAGTTTCCCCGTCCGTAGCATGCGCTCCCCGCGATGCTGACCACTGAACTTGACGGATTAAAACTTCTTAATTATCTTCACAGGCCAGGGCAAAAAGTAAAACCCATCTGACCTGGTAAATTATTCTGATGGCTCATATGTACATGTACCTTTATTCGGAGGCGAATTTTCTTTTCCTCAGACAGATGACTTGGAAAGCTATTTTCGTTGAAATTTTACTTACTCCAGAATGACAGCCACCTCTCTGAGATCTACAACTATAGGCTAACACATATGTATACTCTTTTTGCCCTTGTACATCAATGTTCTAGGCATATTAAATAAGGAAATCTTGCGAATATCTGTCACACACTTTGCCGACTGGACAAAGAATACGGACCCCATTGTACCCCTGGAGCTTCAGGAAGAAATCTCCATTCCGTTCAACTCATTTGCTTTCGGTGACGATTGCAGTCCAGACAACCAATCAGAGTCCCCTAACAAGCTTGTTTTCATCTTACCTGATGTCAAGGACGTAGCGAAGAATACCAGCTTGATCATTTTCCTCAGTGTTCCTCATCGAGGTGGAATGGACCTGAATCATTATTACCTGTACCCGATGACAACCCAGCTGACACCAGAGGCCCTTGACCTCCAGAAAGGTAATGGCTGCATGTTTCGCGTCGTTTTTGACATGCTATGATTTTTAAGGACATTAAAGCAGCCGCAGTTTTCCGTATTTGAAGACTATCAAAAACATAATGCGTCAGGTGATAAAACATTTAGTCGACATTAGGGGTCGCCTACCAAAATTCGCCCCACCATGAGAGTTTCCCGATTGTGTGGATTCGTTATTTTCATCTTCTGAAACATCGAATAATAATTGCTACTTAATTTGTTTTCAGGCTATTATGAATTTGATCACTGAGAACCCTGGTATATTCAAGTCAAGTTTCGGCTTTCTGTTTGAATAACCGACGGAAAATCCACACAGGTTTATCAAGTAGAGATAAGTTGTAATGAAATTTACAGCACAAATAAACAACCCATGAATATACAGGAAGGTCAGCGGATTATTGAGAACTACTTATTAATAGTTAATTCGTTACAATATTTCAAGTGACCCAGTTGTGAGAAATCCCACCGAGGCCACGAATTCTTATCAAATGGGTCAATTGGGCTATTCAAATCTGTCAAACGCCCCTAAAAATCATTATAATTTCTTTCTTTTGCGTGGAAGGCTTCCCGTCATTGCTTGATAACCTGTTTTTGGCTAATCAATGTTCTTACTTGAAAATTATTTTTCTGTGACTCTGATGTCCATTTCAAAATAGAAAACCAAATGTCCCACCAAGCAAATTCAAATTCGAGCTAATGATCTAGACCTTGATTTACATTGTTATTGCGAAAAGGATCTAATGTATTCAATTAGAAGTTTATTCTTCTCAATGGTCGAAAATATGCGAGGCCCAGGTAATTGAATAGAAG